AGAATTGATTATATAAGCACCAAAAATTGGCGCCAATATGTATAGATTGGATGTCTCTTGCTGTCCCGCACTGTATATATAATATTATCAAAATTGTGTGTTACATCGGATGTAGATCATTTTCTTGACATAAGGAAATCCATCGATATCGTTACATGATGATATTGGCTTCTTTAACTTTGTTGATGTACCTTACCAGTTATATCAATAATATATATTTGTATTTAAAAAAATCATTTTTATTTATATATTTACGTAAATAAATTCACCTAATTTTCAAATCTAAACACGTTTTTTAAATAAATCATTAATCTACTTGCCAGCAGTCTCTACTACGGCAATCTTAAATCTTTCTTTAATCTTCAACAATTTTTTGTTTCTTTAAAAAAAGGATCTTTCGGGATCACTCATCTATTATCTATAATTAAAACTCTATACTCCATTCCTCTGTGATCAACAAATCTGTGCCTTTAATAATAACTACATCAGCTGAAGTTGTAGCAACAAAGCCAAATTGTAATTCACGTTTAGAAATTTTCGTGCCATCAATGCAATTTGCGAAAACACTTTTAGGTTTTAAATCAAGCCCTAATACTATGATTCGTTCAACACGAACAGAATTAATTGATTGAGCATATAAATTTTTATCATTTTTAAGTAATGATAATGATTTGGAAATAAGTTTTCTGCCTGAGAATGTAAATTGAAGGTGAACAAATTGTCCTTTTTCGTAATCATAAGTTTCACCATCATCTAAATACAGAGAACCAGTTGCTTCACCCTTCAAATAAAATATAAATATATGTATATATTAATGTTACCGAAATGTTAGAACAAATGAAATCTAAACGAGTAACTCACATTTTTGTCCAATGCTATTAATAAAGTAAAAGGATCCGTACGCATGGCAGCTGAAGACCGTCTAATTCTTTGGCGTTTTGGAACAATGGATCCACCACGTAAAAAGACAGGAATTTTATTTATTGGGGCTTCAATTTGTACTTTACCAGATCCATGAATTTTTTTAAGAGTAAAATAGTCATAATATATCTGAAAGTATTCATCAAAAAAGTATCTAATGTTAATTAATTTACATTAACTCTGCAATTCTCTAAAAAAATATATATATTATATCTCACATCATTTCCTGGAAAATAAACTTCAGTAGATGTTTGGCCTTCGCTTACAATAGGTTTAACAAGTAAGGAGTTACCGACAAAGAATTGATCATCCATTGCATAAGTTTCTTCTTCTTCAGGATAGACTGTAAACATAGGTCTGATACACGAATAAGATGTCAAGGAAAGAAACGTAGATTAATGATATTAAATTATACCTTATAATTGGCATTCCCCTGGTACTAGCTTCATGGAATAGTGTATACCATAAAGGCAACAAAGCATATCTTTCTCGTATTATATCACGAATATAACCTGTATATGGATCACCAAATAGCCATGGTTCACGTCTTTTTGTATCTATATGGGAATGTGCACGAAAGAAAGGTTGAAAAGCCCCTGCTTGGTACCAACGAATCAAGAGTTCAGGTTCAGGATTTCCAAAGAATCCGCCGACGTCAGCTAAAATGGTATTAATTAGCATATATACCGCATTTTTACGGCAGTGTAAGTCGCTCAATCAATATACCGTACCTCCAGAAAATGGTAATCCGGAAATACCGATAGTCAATAACATAGGAGTTGATATAGCTAAATGTTCCCATTTCGCATAATTGTCGCCGGTCCAAATAGCACCATAACGTTGAGAACCAACAAAAAATGCACGAGATAATACAAAAGGTCGATGCGGTGGGTTGCTGCGATTTATAAGTCCTTTAGCAGTTGCACTATGCTACAAAATACTAATCACATCAATAATTTGTTTTATAAAATATCGTGATATATTATGCGCGCATGGAAAACTTACATAGGCGAGTCCATAAAGATTGTGCAAGTTACGATGTTCCCAATCGCCATAATGAATGAGATCTTTTGGCATTGTTATTTCTGGCCCATTAAATACAGATGGCTTAAATTTGTGAGGAAAACAAAATTATTATCTTAAAAGAAGTTTAATAATAATAATAATAATAATAGAGAGTTGCTATTTTCACCCCCAAATTTGCTAATCCCACCCCCCTGCAAATTTAGCTTTTTTTTAAACTTTGAGCAAAAATAACTTGATAACTACCAGGCCAAATTTAACAAAGATTTTTTCTTTGGATTCTATAGATTTGTAGAATTCAAACAAAAAAAAGTTCATCGAATTTGGCCCAGTAGTTGCTAAGATATCATTGCTCAAAG